ACTTGTTACTAGAAGCGATGGACTTGTTCCTAGTAGCTTCTTGTTTCTAATGGCTTCTTGTTACTACTAGTAAGGCACTCTTTACTAGAAGCGTTGCACTTGTTCCTGGTAGCTTCTTGTTTCTAATAGCTTCTTCTTACTAGGAGTAAGGCACTTGTTACTAGAAGCGATATACTTGTTCCTAGTAGCTTCTTGTTTCTGATAGTGTCTTGTTACTAGTAGTAAGGCACTTGTTACTAGAAGCGATGCACTTGTTCCCAGTAGCTTCTTGTTACTAGTAGTACGGCACTTGTTACTAGAAGCGATGCACTTGTTCCTAGTAGCTTCTTGTTTCTAATAGCTTCTTGTTACTAGTAGTATGGCACTTGCTACTAAAAGCGATGTACTTGTTACTAGATGCGATGCATGTTCCTAGTAGCTTCTTGTTTCTAATAGCTTTTTGTTACTAGTAGTAAGGCACTTGTTACTAGAAGCGATGCACTTGTTCCTAGTAGCTTCTTGTTTCTCATAGTTTGTTGTTACTAGTAGTAAGGCACTTGTTACTAGAAGCGTTGCACTTGTTACTAGAAGCGATGCACTTGTTCCTAGTAGCTTCTTGTTTCTAATAGTTTCTTGTTACTAGTAGTTGGCACTTGTTACTAGAAGCGATGGACTTGTTCCTAGTAGCTTCTTGTTTCCAATGGCTTCTTGTTACTACTAGTAAGGCACTCTTTACTAGAAGCGTTGCACTTGTTCCTGGTAGCTTCTTGTTTCTAATAGCTTCTTCTTACTAGGAGTAAGGCACTTGTTACTTGAAGCGATATACTTGTTCCTAGTAGCTTCTTGTTTCAAATAGTGTCTTGTTACTAGTAGTAAGGCACTTGTTACTAGAAGCGATGCACTTGTTCCTAGTAGCTTCTTGTTTCTAATAGCTTCTTGTTACTAGTAGTAAGGCACTTGCTACTAAAAGCGATGTACTTGTTCCTAGTAGCTTCTTGTTTGGAATTAGGGTGTTGTCAAGAAGTAGTTGGCTCCATTGTGGTTCCTAACACGTTCATTGCGGTAGATAGTGGCATCCCCTGTCAAGCGGGTCTTGAGCGCGGGGGGTAACATTCCGCCTTATCAATGCGGGTGATTGACCACCAATCCTCGACTGACTCAACCACGGAATATCGGCGGCAACTTGGCTTCATATGCAAACTAGGAGCAAGGACGCTACTAGGGGCTTCTGGCCTTACTACTAGTCACAAGAAGCTACTAGGAACGGAACAAGTGCCTTACTAGTAGTAACAAGAAGCTATTAGAAACAAGTATATGTCCTTGGCCATGGACAGTTCAGTTCCCTTTCGTCACAGTCTCACAGAGATGTCCCCAAGGTGTGATGCGAATGCGCTGACAAATGGTTGTTTTCAAACACGTCAGTTCAAGAAACACAGGGGCTGGGGCTGGGGAGTGGTGTCGACACTCTGAAGTACCCAATTCTGCTCCTTCCGGAGTTGTTTCATGTTTTTAAGTTCTTTGTCCGCAGTAATAGTGTAGTACACGCTGCACTACCTTAAGCATCATTTTTTATTATTGGCTTTGTTTGGGAAGCTTTGTTTGTTTGGGGATGTGTTTTGCGAGGCGTCGTGGCTGAACGACCTGCCACAGCGAATTTGCAACGCTCAACCAGTGAACCACAGCTCTCCCGACCACGAAGCGAACAGAGATCTTCCCGATTCTCGAAGGATGAGCTTCAGTGTTTCAAACGAATCCCAAATCCATCAAGTCATTTCGAGCAGACGAACCAAACCTACTGGCAATCAGCTGGTGAATTGCGACAAAATCTCTCCAAAGAGAACTGGCACATGCTGCCAGTGTTGAAGGGCAAATTTTTTCAGCAACCTGGATTTGTTTCAGCTTCTTGTTTTTAATAGCGATGCACTTGTTACTACTAGTAAGGCACTTGTTCCTAGTAGCTTATGGGTTGTTTGTGCGTTCTAACCGCGTTTCTTCAAACACGGACACCGGCTCAGGCATCCTAAGCTGAAGAGCCTGGCAGGGCCAAGCGCAGCTGAGAAGGCGAAAGAAGAAGAGAGGCAAAAGTTGGTTTAAAGAATTGTTTTTTATATTGAATTCTTTTTGAATGTTTTCCACTTCTCTTTTTTTATCTTTTTAGGCGAAAGAAGGTCGAAGCTTCGAAGAAAAAATCCGAAGAGGTCGAACCCTTGCCCAGCGAACCAGAAGTTAGCTATGTGCCCTCAGCAAGTTTCAATAAGTTTCACTTATTTCATGTTTAAAAGATATTGAGTTTCAGTGTCTCAACTGTTTTGTCTTCACATTTCAGGTTCTGGACCGGATCTTTCCTCGCAATTGCGACAGGAAGGAAAAGGATGAAAGAAAAGAAATACAAAGAGAGATGAGAGAGCGACGAACGTCGATGCTGGAAATGTACAGTTTTATGGGTCGCAGGTCTTCGATGTCTCCCAGTTCCTCGAAAGACATTCGTTCGAAGGAACGGCGAGATTCTCGCAAAGGACCGTCGAGTGGAGCTCGTCCTACCGTCTGGAACGACCGAATCTCGACGTCTTTGGGATCGTTCACTTCGTTTGGAACCACTCGCAATCCCATGGAAGAGTTTCGCACCAAGCTACTGGAGAAGTTCACAACGATCAAAGAAGCATTTGAGACCTTCATGAAAGACTTGCCTGAGCGGCAGATCACAAAGCTTGAGTTAGCACGTTCATTGGCTCGTTTTGGTTTTGAATGGCAATCCAAACAGGTGAGAGATTCGATTTTTGATCGTTTGGATTTCAAATCGATTGGTCGAGTGACGATGGTTGGTTTCTATGTGTTGGTTGAAGCTTCAGCTCCGGTGCGTTCGGTGGAAGATCTCCGGAGACGTTGGTTGGCAAGTCGTTTTACCATGACCCAAGCGATCATGACGATGGTGGATCATTCGACTTTGGCTTTGACTCATCGGTTCACTTTGCATGAATTTGGAAGTCGCTTACAATTAGTCAATGTGAATGATCCAGAGGAACATTTGGCACTCTTCAATGCCGTGCTTCATGAGAAAGAGAAGGATTCGAAGGAAAGAGAAAAAGGCGAAAAAGGCGACTTCGAAAGGATTCGAAGAGATAAAGGAGATGAAAAAAGAGAGAAAGGCCACGGTCCTTCCATCACCGTGGGGGACTTGGCGGCTGCTTTAGCGGTCGTCTCTCCTTGTCTTCTCTTAGAAGATTTGAGAGATAAGTTGCAGAAACGTTACAATGGTGATTTCAAGAAGGCCTTTAGTGATATGGATTTGGATCGAAGTGGTTCGGTGAACGAACATGAATTCACGGTGAAGATCATGCGGAATTTGCATTTGACCGAGCACGAGGCCCGGAAGAGTCCGCCCCAAAAGGCGATGCTAAGGGCATCGCCAACCTTTGCTCCTGGCTTTTTTGTTACTAGTAGCGATGCCCTTGTTACTAGTAGCACACATTGTTACTACTAGTAAGGCCCTTGTTACTAGTAGCTTTGTGGTTACTAGTAGCAAGCCCAGGAGCCCCGTTCGTAGCGTCCTTGCTCCTAGGGCGTCCTTGCTCCTAGTAGTAAGCCCAGGAGCCCCATTCGTGCTCCTAGTAGTAAGGCCAGGAGCCCCGTTCGTAGCGTCCTTGCTCCTAGTAGCGATGCCCTTTGCTCCTAGTAGCTTTATTGTTACTAGTAGTAAGGCCAGGAGCTCCTAGTAGCGTCCTTGCTCCTAGTAGCCCCTTAGTAGCCCCCAAGGGCATCGCCAACCTTTGCTCCTAGTAGCGATGCCCTTTGCTCCA